GTAGCCCATGGCAACCCACTGCCACAGGGGCTGCAGCCTACGCCATTGCTGGTGACTCCTGGCAGCACAGCTCCAGGTTGAGCTGTTGTACAGCATCTTAGCTGTAGAGGGCAGTGTTACTGACCTTCATATGTGGGATCCAAACCGGGGCCCTCTGGCATCCCAAGCCAGTTCTTAACCATCGCGCCACTCGGCCAGTCCCCAGCACATCTTTTAGGATCGATTTATAATTTTAATCCTTTCTACAACTTTTCTAAGCAGTAGAACCTGTGCCAATTCAGATCAGCTGGAATGAATTTGCTTTCCGTGCACACACAGACGGGAACTGTCCCGGGCAGCTGGTGGAAATGGAAAGTGGTACAACTAGCTGATGTTCTTAATTAAAAACTTTAACATGTTGCATATCCTTTGACCTGGGAATTTCAATTCTCAGAACTTATACTAAGAAAATCATTGCTCAAGTACACAAAGATTTCTTTTTGAGGATATTTGTCACAGCATGACTTTAATAGACCCCCCTCACGCCCTAACGAGAAAAGGACAGAACTTCAACAAGTGTCTGGCTATGTAGATTATGGTATGCCTATATAATGGAATGCTATATAGCTATTAAGGTTATGTCCTAGAAGGCTATTCCAAGTCCTGGGAAGATAACCAAGATAGTTAAGAGGAAAAAGTAAGTTATAACATCACGTAGAGTATGGGCCCACTTTTTGGTAGAATGAAAAATATATCCACGTAAAACTAAAGGATTAAAGAAAAAGAAAAAGAACACCAAAGCAATGGTGATGATCTTTGAGTGAAAGCGTTTTCTCAGAGTGATGGAATAGTTTTAATTTTCTTTCTCTGCATTTTCTAAGTGTTCAACAATAAGTATGTATTATTTTGGCATTGGAAGCTTCTCACTTCTTGAAACGTTACTAGAAGGACAGGTTCACCTGAGGAGTCTTGTCTTTATTAACAGACTCTCATTAATTGGATGGATGAGTTCTTCTAACTGTGCAAAATCCTCTTGGCATATTTGGTAGTTAACATCACAAGCCTAACAAATAATATTTATTAACATTTAGCCTATTTAGGAAGGTGCTGGTAGGCAAATGGATGGAGATATTTTCCCCACCAGCCCTTCTTCAGGCCACTCGCTACTGAGCAGGCCTCCACCCCAGACTCCCTTCTCTCCTAACTGGCCTGGAAATTTGCAAGAACCGGTGATTTGCAAATTTCTTCTTTATCTTAAGTCTGTAAAGCAATTAAATTAATCCAGAGTTTGAAGGTAAAGTTATCTGTTTGTAGAAACAGTTTTATGTCATGGGAATCAGATCCTGAAAGTTTCTTATGTAAACCTTATGCAAAAATTAGGCAAATTAGGCAAAGTCCTCTGGGCCAGGACTTTCAGTATCACTGCATCATGGCACTTGGGCAGGGAAAGGGTACCAGTTCTTTGTCACTTCAGATTGGTATGTATATTTGACATTTAATAAGCCATCTATTTTTACTCAGTTGGGGATTTGCATGGCTATGCAACCTAATTCTGAATATCGGACATCAGTCCTGCAGTTAATTGCCTCCTGGGACCTTCAGTTTTCCATCTTGTGGCTTTCCACTTGTGAACCTGTCTGTGGGTTCTAGAGGTGGGTGTACTTAAGTGATTGGCACTAGATTAGCAAAGACTTTCAAACATTATAAGGAAATAAGAACCATGAAGACCCACAAGGTCTACAAGATCAGCCCCTGCCACCCTCCCTAGCTTCATATCCTGCCCCTCTCCCCTTTGGTTCCAGGCCAGCCAGCTGACCTTTCCTCCCTTCTTTATTATTTATTTTTATTTTTATGTTTTTTTTAAAGATTCCTCCCTTCTTAAACTTCTACTCCCCCCATTCCTCCCCCCCACACACACACCCGGCCTGTATGAACATCATAGATCTCTGCCTACATCACCTACCCTCCCCTGCCCCAGTTCCTCAACTCTCAGCTCAAATGCCACTTCCTCAGGGAAGCCTTCCCTGACCAACTCCTCCCACTCTAAATCAAGTATCTGGGCCTTTTTTTCACAGCTGTACTTATGCATTTGTAGGATAATTTGACTAGTGCCTGACTCCTACTAGACCAAGCTGCCAGAGGACAGGGTCTTGCCTGTATCTCCCAAAGCCAACCACCTACTAGCACATAATAGTTGCTCAACTAATGGATTCGCTCATTTCCAAATTTATAATTCAACATAAGGTCAACTTGAGGATTTGTCCTTATTGTAATTTGGGTACATAATTACCTCTCTTCCTATGCTCCATCTCAGAGGGAACCAAGAGAACATCTTAGCTAAGAACCCTGGGAGCTGAGCTTCAGAAAAATGATAAATAAGGGTGTTTACCACCCAAGCTTCACCCTCCAGAATCGCCTCTCTCCCTCTTGCCCTTCCAGGATTCTATGCTTGCAGCCCTTGCAGCATGTTTCCATTCGGGCTTTTCTGCTTGATGGGAGCTGCTGTGTCCCTCAAAGGAGAATCCTTAATTATATATTTCTGCTCCTATAATTATAATTCTGGGTCCTTTGTGTATACATGGTGCCAGAGATTCTGTGGAGGCTGGGGGGAGCTGAATGACAGAATACTGAGATTTTCCACCTTCATCTTAGTAACAGGACAGGTAAGAGTTTCAGTATGGAGGTTATTTTTCCACTTGCCATCAACTTTACTAATCCCAGGAAACTTCTACTTGAAACACTCTTCTAGCCATCTTCTTTCTCTATTTTTCAGAAGGGTGTCCTCTAGGAAAACTCTCTTTTTCTCTCCCTCTTTTCCAGGTTGGGCAGGGTTCCTGAAGCTGAAGACCTGGCCTCACAAATGCTGAAGGGCTTTCCTAGAGATCGTGTCTCCGCCCAGGAAGCACTGGTTCATGATTATTTCAGAGCCCTGCCATCTCAGCTGCACCAGCTTCCTAATGGTGAGTGTGTGTGTGTGTGTGTGTGTGTGTGTGTGTGTGTGTGTACATGTACACATGTCAGTCTTGGTGTCTCAGTGTTTCCTCTGAGTACTGGAGAATCACAGAGTTTGCAATCAGAAGTGAGCTTAGAGATCAATTTGCCTGGGAGAAGCAAGATAGGACCCAGTCTTACTTGAGTGCTGCATGGGATTTTGTAAAACTCAAGAGCACTGGTGGGTTGAGGTGACACAGACCTCCTTGTAATAATGCAAACATATCCCATATACACACTTACACAGAAATTGGATGAGACGAAAGTTGCCTCTGAGTTGTTTGCTTTCACTAGCATCTGCCAGGAGAAGCAAAACCAAAGTTTCTAACAACCCCCCTTCTCTCTTTCCATAAGAGGGAAAGATGATAAGTGACATGGATATGTCAGAGAAGAGAGCTGGGCCTGCCTTGATTGGTAACCTGATGCTGCCAAGGGAAGTACCAGGGCGGGGCACAGTGGGGAGGGGAGCGTCCTCCTGGGCGGGAGGCCCACGGGAAACCCAAGTTACCCTGAAATCAGTTTTACTGCCTGGGCCTGAAGTCATCCTCCAAATCTGAAATTTGCGGAGGGATCATGTGGCTGGAGCGCTCCTCTGTTTCTCAGAATGTGGCCAGGAAGGGCTATGCAGAGGATGTGGGCAGAGCAGCCATGGCCTGGCCTTTTTGGGAGGGACTCTCCTTAGGTGGGGGTTCTTTGAAAATACCACCATTCAACTGAAGACAGTTTTTAGAAGTCCTAAGTGGGAGAGAAGAAAGCTAAGAAGGAAGGTCTAGGGGCTCATACCGGGAAGAAGCTACTGAGATGGGGTGGGGGGCTACTGCCCAAGAGCCTCCCACATATGGTCTGGCCAAAGTCTTCATGGTTTACGAAGTCAGCTCTGCTACATCTAGGACATTGTCCTGCAACAATTCAAGACTCTTAGTGTGGAACTTCTTGAGGTATTTTATTATTAAAGGGAGTCATTTAGGATCTTCAAAAATAACCATAATCATACAACTGGGGTTAATGTGTCTTACTTAACCTTGTGAGAAGAGTCAGTCATCAGTATTTATTAAGTTACCATGAAGTGTCAGGAACATATTAAGTGCTATAAAAATTGAGGGGGAAAAAGAGGCTTGTCCTTGACCTCAAGGATCCTATGGCGTGGGAGGAAAAGAGGGTGAGGAAGAGGAAACAGGGCACCCTCATACACGTATTAGCACAAATCATATCTAAACAGCTCAAGTCTGTGCATAATCAGTTGCAGATGTTCCAAGAATATGTGTGTGCTAAAGGCAATTCTTTGGAGGAACTAGAATAACTCAAGTGAGATGGATTAGACTGGAGGTGAATCTGGAGTGGAATTTAGAAGGAGGGGAGGGACATGGTTTGGCATCTGGGTGGAATAAAAAAACATTCCAGGCGACCTATAATTCTTACTCCTTTCCTGATACCTCACCCCCGCCCATACTTTGTCCCCATACTCTCCCCCACTCCCATCCCATACCCCCTTCCCAGTCTAAGCCCTTAGATCGCTCCTTCTTAGCTTTCTTCTGCGGAGCTTAGGACTTCTAACTACCACTTCAGGCATGTATACATGCTCAGGT